GGCTAAGAAAGAATTCAGAGCAAAGACTCAAACTATAAGAGAGCGTTTATTTAGAGAAAGTCACAGGGTAGAAAGTGATCCTGATCTGTAGAAAGAAAATGGGCTCAGAAAAACAGGTTATAGAGGCAAAGAAAGGGCCCTTGGAGCTTAGGAAGAGAGAGATGCAAGGGGAAAACGTGCCTGGGGGGAGTGGGGGAGGAGGAAAGGGCGTGGGCATGCTCCCCATACAGAGAGCTGTGTTAGGTCCTCCCTTCTCAGGGTGTTTAAGGGAGGAGATTATAGGGGAGATCCCATGGGCCGATCTCAATAGAAAATTCATTAGCTTTTCAGGTGTGTCCTTTCATGGCTGTGGTCTCTACTGATTGGTCAGTGCCAGCGTCATTAGACAATGCACTGATCCTAATGCCTGCCATGGTTTTGCTGCTTTTCTGGGCCTAGAGCTGAAACACAACTGAGGCCTAGATATATTTCATGTAAATCAGAACCTCATTGTCCTGGGGGCTTATTGCTTAAGGGCTCTTCTCCGGCTCCTTGTTCGTTCCCCCTCTAGGGGGTCTACAGCATGACCAGCCGCATGCCAGGGGAAGAAGGATCAGGGAAGGGTCTGAACTGCATGACCAGCAATATGCTAGGGGAGAAAAGGTTACCCTGGGGGCAAGATCCTTGTTCCCCCAGTTTTTCTTGTTGTCAGGCACCCAGGGATTTCCTCCCAGGTGACCTTCCATACCTGACCTATTGTCCTTGCTCTGCTCATGTCTAAGTGCCTACCACAATTATATGTATGTATGTGTAATTGTGAGTGTCTATATGTCTGTGTATATGTGTGTCTGTGTACACATGTGTATGTATGTGATTATTCATATGTATGTGTAACTGTGTTTATGCCTGAATATGTCTGTATGTGTCGAATTACACAAAGGGACACAGGCACAAATTTCAGGGGCACAGGACCAAATTTCAGGGACACAGGCACAAATTTCAGGGGCACAGGACCAAATTTCAGGGACACAGGCACAAATTTCAGGGGCACAGGACCAAATTTCAGGGACACAGGCACAAATTTCAGGGGCACAGGTTGAGGAGTAAGGCTCATTGGACAGGCCGACAGGGGACAAGGGACAGGGAATAAGGTGAAGAGGGAGATTCAATTGCAGCTGGGGCTAGAAATCCAGAGTGAGCAGGAATGGGAAATGACATTAGGACTCTGTGGAGAGGGAAGTTCTGAGCTGAGGGTGTTGGTCATTTCAAAACAGGAAGGGAGTTGTGCGGAAACAAGGTTGTTGTACAGAAGTGCGTTGCCCTTGGGGGAAGGGCAGCCAATACGGTTGGGGTGAGCACAAGAAACGTCCCACACAGTTTCCAGAGCCAGAGAAGGGTTTCCATGTCCAGCTGCCACAAGACTGAGAGGTGCGCAGTTGATCTCAAAGCCAGGTACAGGTTGGGTAGTTGTGGCATCTCCAGTTGTGTATAGGAAAGCTAATGTGAACCTCCAAGCTTCAAGATGTCCTTCAGCCCTGCTTTCAAGTTAGCAAGATGCCAAGATCTGTAAGTGAAACTAACTGAGGCCCGTATGGAGGCTGAAAAGGAGCCTGGAAGAGGTAAGGGGGCAGGGTGAGGGATGGAGGGTGGGAAGACCTTGGAGTGTTCTGAAGGCAGAAGAATGTAGAAAACATTCAGAAGGAGGGGTGTGGTGGAGGGGATAGAGGACCAGGGAGACATGGAGTGTGGGGAGCCCAGAAAAATCTAGAAAATGGAGAGGTGGGAAGGGGGTGGTGTGGAGGCCCAAGATGGGCAGAGCCTAGAGCAGCCGTGGGCAAACTACGGCCCGCGGGCCAGATCCGGCCCGTTTGAAATGAATAAAACTAAAAAAAAAAAAAAAAAAAAGACCGTACCCTTTTATGTAATGATGTTTACTTTGAATTTATATTAGTTCACAGAAACACTCCATCCATGCTTTTGTTCCGGCCCTCCGGTCAAGTTTAAGAACCCATTGTGGCCCTTGAGTCAAAAATTTTGCCCACCTCTGGGCTAGAGGAATATAGAAAAGAGGGGGAGAGGACAAGAAAAAAGGAGGGAAGAGGATGAAGAAAGGGCCACTACTCTGGAGAAGGGTGGTAACTCTCGAGCTGAGGAATTATCTTACCGGGGTTGGACTACTTGTCCACACTTTTATTTCTTAATACAAACAGAGGCCTCAACCATATCCCATGCTGTTTAAACTGTAGGACTAACAGGCTCCTTTAGATGGCATAGGGGCTTGTTCACATTCACACCCTTCCCCAACCAAGGTCTGTCTTTAAACGTCTGAGGGATCCTCTGCAGCATGGAGCTTCCTCTTCCCTCTATCTCTACCATAATTTGTCCCCTGCCCCCCCTTTTTTGGTTAATTCTCTCCTGAGGATATTTCTTCCATTACTTTTTCTGAGACAATGGAAAGGAAGGAGGTTGGGAGAGAGAGAGAGAGAGAGAGAGAGAGATAGGGAGAAACATTGATGTGAGAGAGACACATTGACTGGTTGCCTCCCTCACATACCTAACCAGGAGCGGGAGTAAACCCTTGACTGGGAATCAAACCCACGACCCTTCGGTGCAGAGGCCCTAACCACTGAGAACCAGCAAGGCCTTGAAGACTTCCTGCCCCAAAGGGCTGCTCGCTGGGGCTGATTCACTGCATCGATTTCCTTTGGCTGCCATTTTGTTGAATCTTCCCCTCAAATCCGGAAATGCCCTCGATCAGCCCCTGTTAGCTGTACTTACAGCGCCCTCTCCTGTTCTTCAGTAATCCACTCCAGAATTTCAGCTCTAAAACCTCCCCATCCCCTAAACCAGTGGTTCTCAACCTTCCTAATGCCACGACCCTTTAATACAGTTCCTCATGTTGTGGTGGCCCTCACCCATATAATTATTTTCGTTGCTACTTCATAACTGTAATTTTGCTTCTGTAAACAATATGTAATTATATATGTGTTTTCCGATGGTCTTAGGCGATCCCTGTGAAAGGGTCATTTGACCCCCCAAAGGGGTCGCGACCCACAGGTTGAGAACCGCTGCCCTAAACCCCCCTGCCCCATGGAGATGTCCTCCTGGCTCCTCATGGTTTCCCTCTAGATGGGGACCCTTCCCCAGCTCAGAGCCCAGGCCAGAGACTCACCTCAAAATGAGAAGGAAGTCACCACAGAACCAGCCCGGAGACCACATTCTTGTTGGGCAATCCTTTATCCTCTCAGCCTTAAGGTGGAGTTAATATGAAGATGAAAACAGTCCAGAATGAAAATTTCACACCAGTTGTTTTTGTAACTGCAGTTGAGGAATTGGTCCAGGCAGCCAAGATAGGAATCTGTTTGTCTTTCTAAGATGATTCGTGTAATGTATGGGAATTATATTTAGTAATGAAGCAGCAGTCTCTTCTGTTAATGTCCCACAAAAGCTCATAAAAAATGTCAGCTTAACTTTTAAGAATTCACAAGGATTGTGTAGACACAAGCAGGATTCATAAACAGAAATTAAGGCACAATTACTTTTTCTAGTTGGCAAAGTATTATCTTCTAAAGAAATATGATGTCTTCTAAAAATTTCACGATCTACAGGCTAAATACAGCTGAAATTCTCTTGCCAAGCACAAATCTCAGAATAATCTCAATTACACCTGGTGCCCATGGGTCTAAGATGCTCACGGCTTGCTCAGTTCCTCTTGCTATTAATTCAGCTCTTACCAAAGTCCATATGTGCCTAGAGAGAGCAGCAGAAGTAGTAGTAGCCACAGTTTCTTCTATGCGCCTGGAGAGAGTAGTAGCCACAGCTTCTATGCGCCTGGAGAAAGTAGTAGCCACAGCTTCTATGCGCCTGGCGAGAGTAGTAGCCCTAGTTACCTCTATGCGCCCGGAGAGAGTAGTAGCCACAGCTTCTATGCGCCTGGCGAGAGTAGTAGCTACAGCTTCTAATCGCCTGGCAAGAGCAGTAGCCACAGTTTCCTTTATGCGCCTGGTGAGAGTCGTAGCCACAGCTTCTATGCACCTGGTGAGAATAGTAGCCACAGCTTCTATGCACCTGGTGAGAATAGTAGCCACAGTTCCCTCTATGGGCCCAAGGAGAGTAGTAGCCACAGCTTCTATGCACCTGGCGAGAGTAGTAGCCACAGTTTCCTCTATGAGACTAAGGAGGGCAATAGCCACAAATTCCAGTAGACGGTCCATGGCCTTGTCCTTGCGGATTCAATCCCAAATATGATTGAACTGTAGGAGAGTCTATTGCTCCTCCCGCCTTAAGGAAGCCTTGGCCAATGAGAACCACTTGCGATCCACACTTCCGTGAAGAAGGTACTAGGTCATTTCCGTCAAGTGGGTCCGGGCGCCATGACGACTAACATTGCAAGTGCCGGAGGGAGTGAGAGGCAATGAGAACCCCCAATGCAAACAATGCCGGGAGAGCATATAGCAGTTCAACTACAGGACCAGCATTGCTTATACAGAAAGATTGACCATTTGGAAGTTGTTTTAATAGTGGGTTAAATAAGGGTCCCCAAGTGCTATCCTTCGTCCCCACAAGCGGAAGCCTGCTGAAGTTGAGAGGCCGGGAAGGACAGCACTGAAGCAGCACTAACCGCCAGCACTGTTGTAATTCCATGTACACTTTCACTTCACTTTGAGGAACAGGATCGCACAGCCTGACAGCCTGTTTATTGTAACGATCCCTTAAAAAGCCATCGACCCTCACTCTCCGGTGCAGTAAGGATCCTGGCTGCTGTCAGCTGCCCCACGGCCTCACTGCAGGCTCACTCCCCAGTGTTCCCCTGGGTTTCCACCTCTGGGCTGGTATTTGTGTTCTCAAGTATGTGCTTTCTTTGTTTATTCACAAATTCGATGTGCCTATCTGAAACAGAGGGCAAAAGCAGGACTCAGAAGATGAGGAATAGCTTCTACCATATGGGCTGTCTTGCTTTTTGCTCATGAGAGCTAGTGAACATTGGGTTGAATCCTAGAGGATCTGCCCCAGAGATGGGTAGTTGAAACGTGAGATGGGCAGCAGGTAAAGGCATGGAGGGATGAGCTTCTATGCTGAACTGTAAAGCCTGGGAGGGGTGTGGGATGTTGGATAGATTTGGGATTAAGTGGATCAACTGGTGCCATGGAAGAGGGCTGTGGGGAGAGGGGCTTAAGGATGAAGATGAGGACCCTGAGTGGGGGTGGACCTATCATTTGAGGGGGTAGCAACTGAAATTGCTTTTGAAAAATTTTATTTCAAGAAAAACGATTTTTATGAAACATATATTTTTATTGATTTCAGAGAGGAAGGGAGAGGGATAGAGAGATAGAAACATCAATGATGAGAATCATTGATTGGCTGCCTCCTGCACACCTCCTATTGAGGGGGATCAAGCCCACAATCCAGGCATGTGCCCTTGGCCAGAATCGAACCTGGGACCCTTTAGTCCGCAGGCTGACACTCTATCCACTGAGCCAAACCTGCTAGGGCAAGAAAAAGGATTTTAAGTATAATAATGTTACATGCAATAAACATTAATATTTCAAGAAAAACAATTTTAAATATAATATTACATGCAATAAAAATTAATATTTCAAGAAGAAAAATATTTTTTAAAAAATATATTTTTATTGATTTCAGAGAGGAAGGGAGAGGGAGAGAGAGATAGAAACATCAATGATGAGAGAGAATCACCACACGCCCCCCACCAGGGATCGAGCCTGCAACCTGGGCATGTGCCCTTGACCTGAATTGAACCCGGGACCTTTCAGTCCACAGGCCGATGCTCTATCCACCTAGCCAAACTGGCTAGGTCAAGAAAAAAAAGATTTTAAATATAATAATATTGCCAAAACTGTACTAACATAGTATAATATCACAAAATTTGTAGGAAATATTAAAAATCTGCAAATAATAAGATTACTACTATTATATTCTAATTTATTTTTCCTCTGGGTCTATTCTGGGTCATCAGTTTATGTTGTTCATTATATTCCACAAATGAGTGGGATCATGTGATATTTATCTTTCTCTGACATGCTTGTTTCATTTAGCATAATACTCTCCAGGTCCATCCATGCTGCTTCAAATGGTAAGAGGTCCTTCTTCTTCTTCTTCTTCTTCTTCTTCTTCTTCTTCTTCTTCTTCTTCTTCTTCTTTTTTTACAGCAGTGTAGTATTCCCTTGTGTAGATGTACCACAGTTTTCTAATTCACTCATCTGCTGATGGGCACTTAGGCTGTTTCCAAATCTTAGCTATTATAAATTATGCTGCTATGACCATAGGGGTGCATATATCCTTTCTGATCGGTGTTTCTGATTTCTTGGGATATATTCCTAGAAGTGGGATTACTAGGTCAAATGGGAGCTTCATCTTTAATTTTTTGAGGAAACTCCATACTGTCTTCCACAGTGGCTGCACCAGTCAGCATTCCCACCAGCAGTGCAAGAGGATTCCTTTTTCTCCGCATCATCGCCAGCACTTGCCATTTGTTGATTTGTTGATGATAGCCATTCTGACAGGTGTGAGATGGTACCTCATTGTTGTTTTGATTTGCATCTCTCGGATGATTAGTGACTTTGAGCATGTTTTTACATGTTTCTTGGCCATCTGTATG